TCTGCAACTATTTCATTAAGAAAAGATGAGTTTCTCCATTTAGACAAAGCCTTTCTCTACCTTAGAAATTAACAAATGTACAGGGTTGTACTAAACACAAATACCAGTTGTACAGGTGATGGAGAGCTGAAGTAGGTTCAATAAATCATGAAAGAATACAAACTTTAACAAAGAAGAGTTTAATTGAAAACTGCAGTACCTCCATCTGCTCCAGCATCTTTTATTGAGTCCTGATTATTATTGCCTGAAGGAGATAAGCTCTACTCTACTCTGAATGAAGTGAGGTGTGACATTAATTGTTACATTTGAACTCTTACCAGATTAGATATTGTGCAGCTATGCACACACCATATAATAGCTTTCAGGTCCTGCTTTTTTCTATTTTCAGGAGATTATTCTACCTTGGGTGTTTTGATGTGTATATTATTAAAAAATAAATTTTACACAGGATATTATATTCCCTCGGACTTTGTTTCATGTGAAAGAAAGGGATACAGTCACACCAATCTAGTACAAAGCAAGATGTAGTTGGCATCTGCCTTCCTAAGTGCAGGGCACAGCCAATCTGCAGGTAAATTACAGATCTGAAAATATTGTCTTTGTCTGGGAAAAGTACCACTTGCCATGAAAAAATTTCTGTCTTTGTAAGAACTGATCTCCTGAGACAAAAGTAAATTCAGAGGAAGGACAAAATGAACTAACACTTAGAAAGTAAAAAGACCACACACAAAATCATACCAAGAAGAACTGGTATTCATACTTAACAGACGAAGTACTCCTGGACCTGAAGTGGAGGAGGCACAGAGAGCAAGCAGAGGAGCAGGGAGTCAAACTCAGAGTTTTTTTCTTTCTAACATGTTTTTTTCCACTTCTTCTCCCTGTCTTATGAGCAACAGACTCAGAGGACCGTTGCTAGGATCAAATTAATAATGTAGAAGAAATGTGCTTTAAATCTGAAGGAGAGGTGTCCGGAAAGGACGTGGGCACACCCTGACCCAGTACTCCCAGTGAAATGGAATGTTATGAAAATAAAATCAGATGAAATTCTAAGAACGCTTTTGAAAGTTAAAATACTGTAATGAATTTTAATTCCACTTATGTTTATTTATAGTAAACAAGTAAAGAAGCAGACAGCCACAGCCTTCCTTTCCTCTTACCTTTCCTCCTCACTTCTCTTCCACCTCTCTCTTCTCATATATTGTCATACACATGTACTTAAAGGGAGTCAAGCCTGTAAAACACACTTCTGAGAAAATAAAAAGACTAGGTGAAGACAGTGTTTAAAATCTTCAGGGAGGAAGGAAACTGTAATTCATAGCTTAGTGCAGCAGTCTCAGAATTCTCAGAATTACAATGATATTGTTAGTTTTTTAATTTATAAGAGCTCCTTAAGGGCACAAGGGGCATCTTAAGATAGTTTTGTATTTTCAGCAAGCAACATAGTAAATAAAATGTAATAAACATTTACTGTTGATAGAGAATACATAGACCCACATACACATATGTAAGATCACTAATTGAAACTGAATTCCTATGCTGTAAGAATTTTGTTGCACCCTTCTTGAGATAACTGAGGCAATTATGGGGAGTTTCAAAAGCAGATTAGAAATTTCATATGTTGCAAGAGGAAACAAGAGGAATTAAAAACTTGAATTAAGATGGAAGTCAATAGGGAGAAACCAGGAAATTATTGTGTCATCAAAGACAGGGAAAATTTTTATTTCAGGAAGAGAATGCATAGTGTTGATATCTACAAATGAGGTCAAATATGATATGTAAGGAAAAATGTCCAATGAATTTAAGCAAGAAAGAGGATGTTGATGAATAAAATTTAGAAGTTGATTTAGTCTTCTAATGTGATTATGGTTTAGTTTATTGACATAATAAATATAATAAATTATGAAATATCTAATTTATCTCATGCTGATTTACATAAAAAACCATAAGTGGTCAGACAAATGTATTCATCTCCTCAGCAACTACAAACTGAGCACTTCCTAGGACTGTCCCAGACACTGGGGACTCAAAGCAGATAAATAGCATGAATTTTTAGGCTAACATTCCTCTAATTTACCAATCTTTCAACCTCTGCTTTGCAACAAAATCAAGTATATTAGGAAAATATATAATTTCCATATAGGTTTAACTCAAAACTGAGTCAACACAAGACCAAAATATCTATTATTTTTTGTAGACTCCAAAGATAATTTTAATGCATATCAATGTTTTAAATCACTAATACATCATCCTTCTAAAGTCATAATATGAAGACAAATCTGTGGTTTCTATTTCTATCTCAGCAAGATTACAAACAGAAAAAAAACTAAAGATTTTCAAACCTAAACACCAAGAAATGCTGGGTAGAATATAAAGTAGGGGATGAAAAGGTTCTTGGTTTTTGTGGTAAGAACAAGAAAAACCTAGATCAAGGAGATGTCATACTTTTTTATGTGGCTAAAGAAGAATGGATACTTCAAGGAAGCCTTAGTAAACTAGCATCTTTCATATATGAAGGCAGGTACTTGGTGTAGGAATGAAAGACTAAAGAGAGAGATACTAAAGATGATAAGATTTGATAGGGTCAGAAATGACCTTGAATGACAGGGTAGGCTGAACCCGAATATAGAAAAGGTACAAGCACAAACCGCTGACCTGACAATTGTCTGCACTAACAATACCCCCAAATTTTGCAGAGAGCCGTGGCAGAGGAGGCACTGAAAACACAAACCTGTGCATTCTGATTATGACAGGACTCGAAGCCTGTGGGTAATGAACCCAAAGAAGCAGCAGCAGGTTGGAAGCTACAGCAACTCACTCCCAGCTTAAATATCTACAAGACGAAAAAGGGGAAAATTCAACCTAACTAAAGTGGTAGCCCAGACTCACCTCAGCACAATGTACGAAGGAAACTAAATGATTGGGACTTTGTCCTGATCATATAAGCAAGGAAAGAGATTTCATTCTGTGGACTAAAATATAAGCAACATTGGGCAGTGCCTGTGGCTCAAAGGAGTAGGGCACCGGCCCCATATGCCAGAAGTGACAGGTTCAAACCCAGCTTCCGGACAAAAGCTGCAAAAAAAAGCAATATTACACTTCAATCTCTACTCTTCCATACACAAATAAGTGCAAAAAAATCAAATAGGCATAACAAGGGTCTAAAGGTACAAATAGTGAGATGATGGACTTAGGTCAAAATCATATCATAACTATATTAAATGTACATGGAGGAAAATTCCAATTAATAGTCAGTGATTGTCAGACTGGATGAAAAAAGTCAAGAAGCAATTGAATATTGTTTATGTAAGACAAATATTTAATCATTTTTATCTTTAGGCCATTTCTGCTTCACTATTATAACGGCCTGATTGCCCTGTTGTAAGCTAAAAACCAGCATTTGGATCTTCTATAAGGATGTTGTTGGAGCGTCATGGAAAGATCTGTACAAGGTTCTCTGAACATTTCGTATTTTAAAGAATAGGATTCTGAATTCAGACTTACAAGCTGACACCACTTGGACTATTTATAGACAATAACAATGGAGTAAGATTCTCAAAACTTTTTCCTAGTAGTAATCAAGAAGCAGTTTACTAACCTAAGATACAGAAGAATACTAATTTTATAAAAATAAATAAATTGAAGAGGCAAATTCAAATATGATTGTTTGGAATATTTTGGTACTATTCTTAACATTTTATTTTTATGGATATATGATAAAAACTTTTTCTTCTTGAGATACATCTAACCCACAATTTAATAGATTTTTTTTAACTAAAATAAAACACTTTAAAATGACCTTTGATTCTCACTGGTCCTTCAAAATGCAGACACTTTTACTAATCCTCCTCACAATTTATAGAAATATTCATTATTTTCGTATGTTCAGTAAGAATAAGTGCTTTTCACCAGAAAATTGACAAATCCATTATACAACCATAGTCCATTTAGCATTATTTTCTTTTTGTTACAAATGACATATCCAATACTAAGGACGAAGAAATGACTTTACAGGTGGAGTAAATGCTCCATAGCCTTCCCAAAGAAAAATGGCATGGTACCTGGATTCACAAGGGTTCAGTCTCCCAGGTGATAAAAAGTTTACCTGGCAGGGTGGCGCCTGTGGCTCAAAGGAGTAGGGCACTGGTCCCATATACAGGAGGTAGCAGGTTCAAACCCAGCCCCGGCCAAAAACTGCCCAAAAAAAAAAAAAAAAAAAAAAAAGATTTACCTGGCAGACCAGCAACCATAGCAAAATTTGGGATTTCCTGGCAGAAGTAATTCATTAATCTGTGAATACTATAGGTAAAATTTGGTGGGGGAAGTTTCTTATGTTTGCTTCCCAGACTCAAGATAGAAAAGCAATGTCTTTCACCCCAAAATGTTGTCCAAAACTTCCATCTTCAAGGAAAAAATTGCAGGAAAAAAGCAATGTCATATTTCATTCAGATTGCTATAATAAAATACCATAAACTGGTTAGCACATGAATAATAGAAATTTATTTCTCAGAGCTCTGGAAACCGGGAAATCCAAGATCAAGGTTTTGGAAGATTTGGTATTATGTAAGGGCCTAATTCCTCGTCCATAGATATAAGTCTTTTCACTATGTCACTGCATGGGAAAAGAGGAAATTCTGGTCTCTTTAGTATCTTATAAGTGTATTTACCCCATTTAGGAGTACTCTATCCTCATGAAATAATAATCCTCCAAAATCCCCACCTAAAACCAATATTTTAAGAGTTAGGATTTCAAAGTGAGAATTTGGGGGTGGGAGACTATCAAGTAGTTATTAAAGGATTTTAAAACTCTAGTTGCAGAATCCTTATAAAGATTTCAGGCTGAAGTATTCCTCAGACTTACTAGTTACTGTATATTTTATGGCTCGAGATTTACAGAAAAAAATTACAGAGACATATAATTAATACTATTGGTGTCTCCAAGTAAGGAAACTGGTTCAATCTACTGGGAGCTGGCATATTTTGTGATAAAGAGCAGCTTTAGGGCTTTCTTTGGAAACACATAGACTGAAACCAGAATGATATAGAGAAGACTAGCATGGCTCCTACAAGAAGATGACACGCAAATTCATGAAGCATTCCATATTTTTCTTTACCACTAGACCAGCAGTGTAAGAAATGCTTAAGGGAGTCCTGCAGTAGGATATAAAAGGAGAATATCTACCACTGAGAAAACACACAAAGTAGAGCAGATACAAAAATGAGAAAGAGAAAAAATAAAACCTCAGTACTATAGAAAACCACCTAATTGTAAGGTAAATAAGAAGGAGAAAAGAACAAAGAATATACAAAAACTATCAGAACATTTAACAAAATGACAGAAATAAGTCCTTCCCTATCAATAACAACCTTGAATGCAAACTGTTTAAATTCTCCAATTAAAAGATATAGATGTGCTGAAAGGATTTAAGAAAAAAAAGTGTGCAGGAATAGCTATACTTATATCAGACAAAATGAACTTTAAAGCAAAAAACATAAAAAGAGACAAAGAAAGTCATTATATAATTATTTTAAAAATTCAGCAAGAAGATATAATAATTTAAAATACATGGGTCCAACTCTGGAGCACCAGATATATAAAGCAATTACCATTACAGCTAGAGAGAGATGGACATCAGTACAATGATAGCTGGCAACTTCAATACCCCACTTACATCACTGGACAGATCATCTAGACAAAATAGCTATGACAAAACTTTGCATTTAACTTCACTTTAGACCAATGGGACCAAAGAGACGTTTACAGAACATTCCATCCAACAGCTGCAGAAGACACATTCTTTTCAACACAACACAGAAAATTATCCAGGATAGATTATATGTTAGGCAACAAAACAAGCCTCAACAAATTTTTAAAAATCAAAAGTCTATCAAGTACCTTCTCAAATGACAATGAAATAAAGCTAGAAATCAGTAACAAGAGGAACTTGGGAAAATATACAAATGAAATGGAAATTAAACATGTTCCTGAACAACCATTGGGTCAAATAAGAAATTAAGAAGGAAATTAAAAAGTTTCCTGAAACAAATGAAAATAGAAACATAACTCAAAAACCTCTGAGATACAGTAAAAGCAGTACGAAGAGAATGGGTTATAGTACTAAGTGCCTATGCTAAAATTAGAAAGATTTCAAACAAACAATATAGAAATTCACTTCAAGAAATTGGAAAACCAAGACAAAACAAATCCAAAATTACTAAATTGAAGAAAACAAAAAATTTCAGGGCATAATTAAACTAAATAGTGACTAAGAAATTACAAGGGAACAACAAAGTTAAAAGTTGTTTTTATGAAAAATAAACAAAATTGGTGATCCACTAAGCTGGAGTGCACAACCTCTTTTCTTTTCTGTGGTACACTAGAAGAACAAGAGTTGTCTTGGGTCATACATTAAATACAGAAACACTAATGAAAGGTAATGGGGGCCAAAAAAAAAAAGAAAGTCCACGCATACTTTCCATGATACCCAACACCACAGATAAGC